AAATCGTGTAGGAATGTTCCGCATAACCGGTAAAAATCGTTATAAATAACTCAATTTTCAAATCAGATGATCAAAGAAATTTTTCGAATCATTCATTGGCCCGCACGCTAAAACGGACAACCATGTATTATTTGGGTGTTGTGTGCTGAGATACCGATATTATTGTCATACTGAACTGTACAAATGCTAAAAAACCTCTATTTTCTGATACAGGAATAAAAATAGGCAGATTATTTACAATCCATTTTCTATGTTGCTAATATTTTGGTTGTAGGCCCTTTTCAAATGATAAGCTAGAAAAAGACAGAGATTATTTACAATCCATTTTCTGGTTTGTTTACTTTTTAGTTGAAGGCCGTTCTCAAATGTTACGCGAGATATAGTCGTTTCTGGTCTCCTCTTCCTCTTATAGCGAATTTGTTTATCGAACTTTTTGTCAGTGCGAACCTCAACCTGAGGTAGGTTTTAAAAACAAACGATCAAACTGACGCTTGCCATAAAAACAAGCAGAGCAATCTTGATATCCAATGCAGGTTGGAACTGAATAATAAACAAATTCGCTATTAGGTTAATTTGACCTGGTCCCATCGGTCCTGGCTCCGATGCTGAGAATAAATTATTCTGCATCTCGATTCGGATTTTAGTTTTCAAACAGTTATAATCATCCACAGTTAAATATAAGTCCTCTGCTGCTGTTCATCATTTTCTGAACAAACGAGGTTAAATTTCTAGCTGAACATTTCAAAATGTCTTAAACGAACCTTAAATTCAATTTTTTTTTTTTTTATTATAGTCACTTTAACACTCTTGGGTCATTCGTGACTTGTTCGGAGGTGAGATTTGAACTCGTGACTTTGGCGTGAGAGGTATGGATGTTAACCGCTACGCCGGGGTCAACATCTAGGAAACGTGAGAGTATTGTAAGGGTGTTATATCATGGAGATTTCAAGAACTTAAAAAAATGCGAAAATTTAGCTTAGTTGATTAGAACTGAACGAGAACTTTTAGCAAGCTTCAAAGAAGTTCATAGAACTTCTAAAACATTTAGATATTTTTTAAATGGTTTCATGATATTCAGCGAAGTTACGAGTACTTCGAGGACGATCAGATAGCTTCAGAATAATCCCATTAACTTAAACAAATTTGAAGGATTATCATACAAATTCAGAGAACTTCAGGTAAGCATAAATAAGTTCAGGGAAAATTAGTGAACGTTTATAATTATTATAATACTTAAGGAAAATTGTCGAAACTTCTAGGCAAATCATTTAATTTCAGTAAAGTTGTGGGTTCTTAAAAAATCCTGATAAATTCATTGCAGTCTAGAGAATTTTGAGGAAATTCAATAATCGTTTAAGCAGTTCTAATACCACCAGGAAACTCTAGACTATTGAAAAAGTTTTAAATTAGTGCCAGTAATTTACAGAAAGTTTCATGAACTTCAGAAAAATCTTGAGAAATTCAGAGAAAATCATAGAACTATATTAATTTTTTTTTTTAACTAGTTCGTTTATTTACTAGGCTCAGTCGTGTGTGACACTTTGCGGAGCCAAAATCAGTAATGTTTGATTTACATTTTAAATAGCAGTATTTCTAGGTTAGTATTGGGTACCAATTACTCGTGGCGGGCTCGAGGTTAATAGGTAACAATTTCAATTGGAAATCTTCACAGAAGGACAGTGATCTTCAAAAACATTTCGAGAACTTTATAAAAAAGCCGGCGCCGGTGGTGTAGTGGTAAGCGTGACTGCTTTCTAACACCCCAATGGGTCTGGGTTCAATCCCAGCCGAGGTCGGTGGGATTTTTCTGAGGCATAAAAATCTCTGGTCACGTCTTCCTTCGGAAGGGAAGTAAAGCCGTTGGTCCCGGCCCATGTGTGTGGAAGGTGTGGGTGTGGAAGCTGCCTTCCTGCACATTGCGAAACAGAGACCGACGTTAAATAAAGGAAATAAGAATAACTTCATAAAAAAAAAACTATGAAGTTTAAGAGGAGATCCGCGAACTTCAGGAATTTGTATGAACATTAGCAGAATTGGGGGTGCATTTGAAAGAAGTTTAGCTTCGAAAATTGGAAGAATTTCAGGGGGAGGTCAGTTCCATTAGTTTCAGAAAATTAGTAAAAATTTAAGGCAGTAAAAATTAATTAAGGTTTTTCTCATGAGTTATTTTTAGGATCGTTCAATTAAATTCAGTGTAGTACAACAAGCTTCATGACAACTGCAAAAACCTTAGAGAAGTTATGAGAATTTCTTTTAGTTTTGCTCGGAAATATCTTGAAATTCACCACAATAAGAAACCCTTTGGAAAGATTCTCCGAATATTCATTGACTTCATTTTAGTTTTCTTTTTGAATCTCACTCCTTCCCTTTGAATTCTACTCACATTGAAAGTCTCCTAAGAATTCGTTGGCATTTCTCCTCACAAATTCTCTAAATTTATTCTCATAATTTGTTTGGCAAACTCTCCTGAATTGTTCTGAATTCCTTTGAACATGTTCTGGACTTATTCTCAGATTTAATTGTAATCCTTCTTTTAGTATTTTCAAAAAGATTGCAAGGACTTTTGTCCCGGATTCGTTCTCTCCCACATTCTTTAAGAAATTATCCTTAGAAGACCCTTGGAATTTTCCTCTGAAGGAGTTGCTCTTGCTCCTCAGAAATTACTAAGAGTTTTCATTAAAATTTGATTTCAATTCAATTCAGGGTTTCTTCAAATTCTAATCAAAACTATCAGGCTTTACGAGAAATCTTAAATTCCTCAGAACTACCTTGAAAGCAGATTGCATGTGATATTTTTTTTTCTGGAAGATTTTTTTCCCAGAACTTCCTCGAAATGAGGCTCTAAGAAATTTTAATAAAATTCCACGAGCTTTTAAAACTGTGTATGGAAATTGACTCCAGATTCTTGAAAATTTTTTGAATTATTATCGCATTAAAGTCCAGAACTAGTTCAAATTTAAAATTTCTAGGAAATTAGCATGTTCAAAAACAAAACAAAAAAACAACATATCAAGTCTCGATTTTTTTAAATTTTTCGTTAGTGAAGATTAATCCACTCTATCTTTAATATTCAAAGTGTGAATGAAAATAACGAGAAAAATTAAATGCTTGTATTTTAAAATTAATTCTTTTCTTTAAAATATCCTTAGTAATAAAATTATTAAATTATCTGAACCTTAAAAGTATTTTAAGAAAAAATAAAGTTTCCTGAGGATTCCCGGTTTTCCAGGTGTTTTCAGTTATTAGACACCCTGACTAATAACGTGGTTTTGGTCATAAACTTTCTATTGAATCTTTCGCTTTAAAGGTTCATATCGTACATAAGTATTTATGAGATATTTATTGAATAAATCTAAAACATCAAACATTAATTTGGTGTGCCATCAGAACAACTACTTTTCTTCTTTTAGGTAACTTTTTAGTCACTATCTTTACAACTATAAGTCACTATTCGGTCACTTATTTCTTCAACATGGTCACTAAAATCACCATTTTTGACAGCAGTGATCGCTATCATCCCTGTTGCTCATAAATGGGTAAAATTTTACTCAATTAATGGGTAGTCCCAGTTTCCCTCAAAAATGCTTACTTTATAGTCATTATTTGGTATTTTGGGGTTACCGTGTAGTGCCGCTAGGGTCGGGAAAAATTGTGTCTTGGGGATAATAGTTAATGTTAATTTATCATTTTTGCATTTTCTCAATGCCTACTTTTTCCATATGTGACTGATATGGGATTATAGGCAGTATATTGTTACTCTATAGAGGGTCTAGTGTAAGAGAGGAGCGGACTGGTTGGCTTTGAGCCAAACGAACAGCGCATATTTTGATTGCATTGGCAGTGTTACTAGAAACCATCTAGGCATAGGTTGCCTTGGAAGTATGTTTTCAATTCGCTCCTCCAGTGTTAGGAAAATATCAAACAATTAAATCTCACCAAAGAACAACATCACGCTTGATTTTCGTAGACCAATTCAACAAGCAAACAACTGCGGTTAATATTGCAAGCTGTGATATCGCAGCACGCACAGAATATCAAGCTAACACGACTCACCAGCTGCAAATCTCACCAAACTGTGGTGAGATTGTGTTTCATGATTTTTGCTTTACACCCGAACGCAACCGAAACTTCCATAACGAACGACTGCAGCAGTCGTCGCTTCGTGTCTGCCATCGGTGATATACCTTCTCTTTCTAAGAAAACAAGGCGCAAAGGAATCATTTTTGCGTCGATTCAACTCTCAGCTTCAATCTAGGCTTCAACTCTACACGTTGTTAGTAGTCTCGCAATATCGAAGGCGCTTGTAAAATCAATATCAAGCATGATATTTTACTCCAACATCACGCGTGATATTGAGAGTGTATGAAAGCGGGAAAATATCAATTTGCTAATGATTATGCCATCACTGCGCTCATCTCTTATACAAGACCCTCTTTATATTGTTACTATAGTATATTTGATTTTCTTCCTTGTTTGTCGTTCAACTCACTTCAGTTTTAACAACTAAAACAGTTTCCGAAGTATCAATCTTTCACAGCAGTGCCTTAAATTCTTTCTTACGTGACTTATTTATTAAGAAAATCAGAAAAACGTTGTACCTAACCTAACACCGAGCTACGAACTAACCACCAACCGCTGCTAACTAATTTACCAATTATTGTATTTTTTTCTCTTTCTTATTTTCATATGTATAATCGCTTAATTATGTGTGCGTGTGTGATGGCTGCTACTTCTGCATGATGTGCGCTTTATTTTCTTCAACCAACTACATTTTCCGCGGCTTGATACCGAATATACCACCAAACATGTGCTTTTACGATAACTTATTGGTTTCCGTGCGCTAATCAAAATTGGTAAATTGTGTCTCTTTATTTGTTTTTCGCTTTCTGTACAAAAATCGCGCTTACTTTTTGGTTGTGCTTTCGTTGTTACGCCTTATTGCTAACTTTTGTATAAAAACAAAACAAATCACTTAACTTTGGTTGAACAACTGAGAGAAGGTGGTTCTTACGGGTATTACCGACAACGTCGTAATAATTTTGCAGTGACCACGCCACTGTTCGGCACCAGCAGAAGCTACGTCGATCCGCACACGTACGAGGACCCAAACCAGGCGATCCGCGAGTTTGCGCGCGAAATCGATGCCAGCTACATCACGATCGAGGCCATCATCGGTGAGTTCTGGGTGGTCGTGGAATGTCGCTGCTGCATTTACTAAACCACGACTTTTTAGGTGGCGGCGAGTTCGGTGACGTGTGCCGAGGGAGGCTGAAGATCCCGCCGAACTTTGTGCAGGAAATTGACGTTGCCATCAAGACGCTCAAGCCGGGCTCGTCGGAGAAGGCACGGTGCGATTTCCTCACCGAGGCCTCCATCATGGGTCAGTTCGACCATCCGAATGTGATCTACCTGCAGGGGGTGGTGACCCGATCGAACCCGGTCATGATCATCACCGAGTACATGGAAAACGGCAGTCTGGACACGTTCCTCCGGGCCAACGATGGCAAGTTCCAGACGCTGCAGCTGATCGGAATGCTACGGGGGATCGCCGCCGGAATGTCCTATCTCAGTGACATGAACTACGTGCACCGGGACCTGGCGGCACGCAATGTTCTAGTTAATTCCTCACTAGTGTGTAAGATTGCCGACTTTGGGCTGTCCCGGGAGATCGAGAACGCGAGCGACGCGTACACGACGAGGGTAAGTTTTCCTCTAGGTTGAGAAGTAGGTACCTACTCAAATTGTAAGATTCCTAATGCCATCTCTCATTTTCAGGGCGGTAAAATCCCGGTACGCTGGACGGCCCCGGAGGCGATAGCGTTTAGGAAATTCACGTCCGCCTCGGACGTGTGGTCCTACGGCGTGGTGCTGTGGGAGGTGATGTCGTACGGCGAGCGGCCGTACTGGAACTGGTCGAATCAGGATGTGATAAAGAGCATCGAGAAGGGCTATCGGTTGCCAGCGCCGATGGATTGCCCGGAAGCTCTGTACCAGCTGATGTTGGACTGTTGGCAGAAACAGCGGACCCATAGGCCTACGTTTTCTAGTATCACGCAAACGTTGGACAACCTGGCGAGGCAACCGCAGGTGTTGCTAACGACGCGGAACTCACCGGACAACCCGGTGGCCCGGATGGGCAACGATATTAGCGACGAGATGCTGGCGGCCCAGCAGCGGAGTATGCTCGGAATGGGCACGACCGAGCGGATATTGAACAGTAGTTCCGGCGCCGGTGGCGTCGTCGGAAGTAGCATGACGATGAGCGTGGCCGGAATGGGTACGCTCGGCTCAACCGTCGGAGGACTGAGTAATACGGGAACCATGTCCGGGACGGGCAGTGCCGGAGCGGTGTTCATCAGCACCGACCAATGGCTGGAGAGTATCAAGATGTCGAGGTACTCGCAGCACTTCAAGGAAGCCGGACTGGTGACGGCTCAGCAGGTGAGTTATCTGTGATCATTTGGACTGCTTCGGGGATACGTCCGGTTTCTCTTTTTGGCCTGGTGGGTTTCGAAATTTTGACTTTTGTCAACAAACACACACACACACATACAAAGACCGACTGATCTAAACCGAAAATTCTGTTCCGTCTCTTGCCAACGTAGATATCCCGGTTAACCGCCCAGCAGCTGTCCGACATGGGTATCACGCTCGTTGGGCACCAGAAAAAGATTCTTCACCAAGCGCGACAGATAGATACCATAATTTAAGTGTCAACAGAACCCATTCCACCACCACCACATCACATACACAGTTACAGTACTCTTCTTCTCCCGTTGAATGTTTAAGAAAGCAATCGCGCGAAAGTAGTAGTGCATGTCCAACGACGGGAACAACGAACGAAGAGAGCATGACTTATCCTACTACAACAACAACAACAACTACTATTACTACTACTACTACGAAAGCATGGACTTGATTACGACGGAAATAGCACATCACAAAGTACCGAAACCAACTACCGAGGTTGGTTTTCCTTTTTTCAATCAACGATCCCAGTTCAAATTTGTTTCAGTGTATTTATTACTAACTAAGTTCATTCCCATCGCGCGCGAAGCATTCACCTTTTTTTAAGCGAGAGACAGAGAGAGAGAGAGAAAAGAATAGTGTGAGAAAATGTAGTGACAAAGAGGAGACTGCATCAACCTGTACACATGTTTATACAATTAGCATAAAAGAAAACAGTTATAATTGATAATTCTTTGCAAAACGAATCTAATTTAATTTCCGATGGTGATTGCACGAGAGCGCGAGCGACAGAAAGAGAGATTAAAATGCATTTATATTTTTTTTTTAACTCGTACCTAACTTAATTCAAACACACACAGACAGACAAGTGATCGTTACTTAAGCGTAATCTCAGAAACTTTTGTTCCGTTTTCAAGCTGATTTTGATGAGCGTAGAGGAGGAAAAAAAAAACAATGTCGTTAACAACGCATTATGCAAACGAACGAAAGAGAAAGGGGAAAAAATGTGATTTTTATACAATAGCAATAGGTAGAAGAGAGCGAGAGAGAAAGCGAGAGAGGAAGAGGAGGAAAGCTACTAAAACAGACTACGCAATCATCACCACCACCACCACCACAAACTGATATTAATTAAAGGAGTAACAGTGAAACAGCAGAAACAATTACGGAAAGACAGCGAGAATCGTTCTTGCTTTTTCTAGGGAGGTATGCACCGGAATCAGTGAACGCAAGAGAGAGAATATCGGAAAGGACTGTGTATTATAGATCTTTTTTTTTTACGATGATGGTCTGAAAGTAAGTTTTAGTTTATTTTTTTTTAACCTATCAGTTCTCTTTCCTTTCATTCTGTTGTGTATAGAAGTATTTCAACCTATTATTATTATTATTATTATTATTTTATTGCTAGTTAGCTATGATGTTTATTTCTAATTTAATCGAGAGCTAGTAGTTGTGAAAAAGGCAGCAAACACGATGGGTAAGCTTTATTTTGTGAAATATTGCACACTGCCTAGTTGTTTTAAGTAATAAAATGAACAGTGAGATTAGAAGTGTTGTTTGTTTTTATTTTTATTTGGTAGTTTGGGTTGACCGTTTTAGAAAAGAAATAAGTCCTTCTTTCTTATGTTTTTTTTTTGTATTGATTTATATTTTCAGTTGTATTTAATTTTTGTATTAATATTTCTACACGCAAACGGTAAACAAGTGACTTTTGAATCTTCAAACTGCTTACAGTTTTTCCATGTCCATGATCTTGGAAATTAGCCTGAAACTCTGACAGCTTTGACGTAAAACATAAAGACCGTTAATATTTAAATAAATGTTTTTAGAATCCCTAAAGAAGTATCCACACCAAAGTGATACGTCGGATGAAAACTTTATCATGGTTTGGTTTTTATTGGTATGCCTTTAACTTTTTTCATCAACAGAATTTCGTAAAATGATGTATGTAGCTTCTGTAGGTTTTGATATTAGTGACGAACTCAAATCAGTATCTCTATCTGTAGGTATCTCTAAGAGCGAGTAGAACTTGCTATTGTTTTTCAGTGAATGTAATTTGCATTCACTGAAAAAAAACAATGCACCAATGGTTACAGATTTGAGTAATTCGCAAAAGTTTTAGCTAATATCAAAACCTACAAAAGCCTCATTTTACGAAATTCTGTTGATGAAAAAAGTTAAAGGCAAATGAATATAAATGCATGCACGAAATGGATGTAAATGATTGTCCATGCCTGCTCATGGCCCAACCGACAGAAGAAAATGCATCACATAACCTTTTTGAACTAGATGCTATTTTTAAATTACAGAACCACGAAATGTACAGTACGAGATGTCCACGTTTCCTCCAAAGCATCGTGTTTGAATCTTAGATCTAAACAGGTCCGAGGTGTTTCTGAATCATCTTGCCCCTTAAATGCCGCACAATGGGCCAGGCCCCTTTGATATGTGTTGCGCATCTCTGATGTGTAACATCTATCAAATTGACGAGGAATACCTTCTTCATATACATCATTTTACAGGATGCTTTCAGTGTTACTTTAGATTAGATTAGATTCTGGGATGCAGATTTATTCTTTAGACAGAATTAATTTTTTTCTAAACCCTCTATTCTGCGAGTCGTGTGACTCTCTGGCACTAGTGACTTGACAAAAGTCACGTCGTGTGCGGTGACTCCGTGCGAATCAACTTTTGACAACTCACTAGTGACAGAGAGTCACACCACTCGTAGAATAGCGGAGTAATTCTCTGAACAAAATATAAGTCTGAGTTCTAGATAGTTCATCTAAAACCTGGGATTTTAATAGGTCCTAGTAATCAAGAACATTTGACTAAAATGCTTAAATACCTTGGGGGAAACAAAACGAAAACGGAAAAAAGTGACATTTCAAATTGACATTTCTCGGAAGTTCTATGAACTGTTCAGAAGCTCTATGTACTGCTTGGAAGTTCTATTAAATTCTCAAAAGTTTTATGAACTGCTCGGAAATCCTATGATCACTTCAGAAGTTCTACAAACATCTCGAAAATTTTATAAATTTCTCGAAAGTCCTGTGAACTGCACGACGGAAGTTTTATAAATAAGTCGGAAGTTCTAGGGACATCTCGAAACTTCTATTAACTGCTCGGAAATTCTATACTGAACCGTTCGGAAGTTCAATGAGAGATGTGTCTTTAATAAATACATCTCGGAAGTTCTATGAATTGCTCGGAAGTTCTATGAATTGCTCGGAAGTTCTATAAACTACTCGGAAGTTTAACGAACATCTCGGAAGTTCTATGAACTGCTCGGAAGTTCTATGAACACATCGGAGGTTTTATGAACTGTTCAGAAGCTCTATGAACTGCTCGAAAGTTCTATCTAATTCTCGGGAGTTCTATGAACATCTCGGAGGTTATATGAGAGTTTTGGAATTTTATGAATATCTCGGAAGTCATATGAACTGTTTGGAAGATCTCTGGACTGCTCGTAAGTTCTATGCACATCTCAAAAGTTCTATGCACATCTCGGAACATCTCTGGAGTTCTATGAACATCTTAAAAGTTCTATGAACTCCTCTGAAGTTCTAGGAACTGTTCAGAAGCTGCTTCAGAACTGCTCGAAAGTTCTGTAAAATTCTCGGAATCTCAATGAGCATCGCGGAAGTTATATGAGAGTTTTGGATGTCTATGAACATCTCGGACGTCCTATGAACTGCTTGGAAGATCTATGGACTGCTCGGAAGTTCTATGAGAATCTCTGAAGTTCCATGCACATCTTGAAACATCTCTGGAGTTCTATGAACATTTTCAAAATTCTATGAACACTTTGGAAGTTCTATGAACTGTTCAGAAGCTCTATATACTGCTCCGAAGTTCTATTAAATCCTCGGAAGTTCCATGAACATCTGGGATGTTCTATAAACTTCTCGGAAGCTCTATGAACATCTCGGAACTACTATGAACATCTCTAAGATTCTATGAATATCTCGAAAGTCTGCAAGTTTTATGAACTTGTCGGAAGTTTAAGACACATTTCGAAGCTTCTATTAACCACTCGGAAGATCAATGGGCGATGTGTTTTTAATAAAAACAATACTAATAATACTTCTCAAAAGTTCTTCGAACATCTCGGAAGTTCTATGAACTGCTCGGAAGTTCTATGAACTACTCGGAAGTTTAACGAGCATCTCGGAAATTCCTTCAAGATCTCGGAAGCTCTACGAACATCTCGAAAGTTCTATGAGCATCTCGGAAGTTCCATGAAGATCTCGGAAGTTCTATGAGCATCTCAAAAGTTCTATGAACGTATCGGAAATTTTATGAACTGCTCAGAAGCTGCTTCAGAACTGCTCAAAAGTTCTATAAAATTCTCGGAATCTCAATGAACATCTCGGAAGTTATATGAGAGTTTTGGATGTCTTTGAACATCTCGGAGTCTTATGAACTGCTTGGAAGATCTATGGACTGCTCGGAAGTTCTATGAGAATCTCTGAAGTTCTATGAACATCTCGAAAGCTCTGTGAACTGTTCGGAGGTTCTATGATTATCTCGGGAGTTCTACAAGCATCTCTAAAATTCTTTGAATTTCTCTTAAGTCCTGTGAACTGCACGGAAGTTTTATGAAGTTCTAGGGACATCTCTAAACTTCTATTAACTGCTCGGAAGTTCTATTGTGAACCGCTCGGAAGATCAATGAGAGATGCGTCTTTAATAAAGACAATAATACATCTCGGAAGTTCTATGAATTACTCGGAAGTTTAACGAACATCTCGGAAGTTCTATGAAATGCTTGGAAATTATAGAATATCTCGGAAGTTCTATGATCATGTCGGAAGTTGTACGAAAATCTCAAAAGTTCTATGAACACATCGGAGGTTTTATGAACTATTCAGAAGCTCTATGAACTACTCGAAAGTTCTATAAAATTCTCGGAAGTTATATGAGAGTTTTGGAATTTTATGAATATCTCGGAAGTCCTATGAACTGGTTGAAAGATCTATGGACTGCTCGGAAGTTCTATGAACATCTCAAAAGTACCATGCACATCTCGGAACATCTCTGGAGTTCTATGCACATCTCAAAAGTTCTATGAACACATCGGAAGTTCTATGAACTGTTCAGAAGCTGCTTCAGAACTGCTCGAAAGTTCTGTAAAATTCTCGGAATCTAAATGATCATCGCGGAAGTTATATGACAGGTTTGGATGTCTATGAACATCTCGGACGTCCTATGAACTGCTTGGAAGATCTATGGACTGCTCGGAAGTTCTATGAGAATCTCTGAAGTTCCATGCACATCTTGAAACATCTCTGGAGTTCTATGAACATTTTCAAAATTCTATGAACACTTTGGAAGTTCTATGAACTGTTCAGAAGCTCTATATACTGCTCGGAAGTTCTATTAAATCCTCGGAAGTTCCATGAACATCTGGGATGTTCTATAAACTTCTCGGAAGCTCTATGAACATCTCGGAAGTTCTATGAACATCTCTAAGATTCTATGAATATCTCGAAAGTCTGCAAGTTTTATGGACTGGTCGGAAGTTTTAGAAACATTTCGAAACTTCTATAAACCACTCGGAAGATCAATGAGAGATGTGTTTTTAATAAAGACAATACTAATAATACTTCTCAAAAGTTCTTCGAACATCTCGGAAGTTCTATGAACTGCTCGGAAGTTCTATGAACTACTCGGAAGTTTTACGAGCATCTCGGAAATTCCATGAAGATCTCGAAAGTTCTACGAACATCTCGAAAGTTCAATGAAGATCTCGGAAGCTCTACGAACATCTCGAAAGTTCTATGAGCATCTCGGAAGTTCCATGAAGATCTCGGAAGTTCTATGAGCATCTCAAAAGTTCTATGAACGTATCGGAAATTTTATGAACTGCTCAGAAGCTGCTTCAGAACTGCTCAAAAGTTCTATAAAATTCTCGGAATCTCAATGAACATCTCGGAAGTTATATGAGAGTTTTGGATGTCTTTGAACATCTCGGAGTCTTATGAACTGCTTGGAAGATCTATGGACTGCTCGGAAGTTCTATGAGAATCTCTGAAGTTCTATGAACATCTCGGAAGCTCTGTGAACTGTTCGGAGGTTCTATGATTATCTCGGGAGTTCTACAAGCATCTCTAAAATTCTTTGAATTTCTCTAAAGTCCTGTGAACTGCACGGAAGTTCTATGAACTGGTCGGAAGTTCTTGGGACATGTCGAAACTTCTATTAACTGCTCGGAAGTTCTATTGTGAAGCGCTCGGAAGTTCAATGATAATACATCTCGGAAGTTCTATGAATTACTCGGAAGTTCTATAGCTACTCGAAAGTTTTACGAACATCTTGGAAGTTCTATATTGTTTGGAAATTATATAATATCTCAGAATATCTATTAACATCTAGAAAATTCTATGAGTATTTCAGAAGTTCCATGAACATCTCGGAAGTTCTATGAACTCTCAGAAGTTCCATGAACTCTCAGAAGTTCCATGCACATCTCGGAACCCGAGTAGCACACTTCCGTTGAGAAAAGTTGCAACAACTTGTTTATGACTAAAATAAGTCGTAAAGAAGTTTCTACAACCGATA